AGCACCATGACCTGCATTATCAAACTCAGGCTCAAAATATTTGTAATGGCTCAATTAGCCTCAGGCACATTATCTCACTGGTATCAGCAACTGTATGTATTTATTTACAAATGGCACAGGGGGGAATTAAATGTTGCTGTTGCTGTTGTCAGGGAAACAATCTACTTCTAAATTTTTAATTTTTTAATTTAAAATGTTGTATTCTAAGCAGGAATGGTCATTAAAATTGCATGAGGAAAAGGGGAAGAAAAAACTGGTGTATCTACCTATGATGGAATTGATGTACACTGTAATTACAGCAGGTTACAGAAAAAAATGTATCTTTCATGTGAGACCATGGTTATGAATGTTTCTGCACATTACTTGTGATTACTGTTGCTTAAGAATGAGAAATTATTTATTCTCCGTGTGCAAATCCTCAGCCAAAATTGCAGGTTGGAATACATAATTTACTTTGTGCACTGCAATTTTTATGTAAATACTAGGATCATCACCATGAAAGTGGGCACTCAGTAAAGATAGATTTATAATGATATAAATGGTAACTTGCATAGCAGAATTTAATAACTAATATCCTAATTTACTATTTTCACAGAATTGGTGTTACTGGGCATGCACCTTCCTTGAGCAAACACGGCCTAAAGCTACTGCAATGGGGACTGCCTATCAGTCTGTCTGCAGGTCTGCTACAGCATCTTGCCAGGACATTTCTGTAGAAGTAAAACCAGGTTATGCTAAGAGGGAAACAGCATATTTTGAATAAACACAGAATGGAAGTGCTCGTCTCCAGCTCACAGAGTGTACAATTGCTTGTAATCAGAATCATAGAATCATAAATGGCCTGGGTTGAAATGCTCATCCAGTTTCAACCCCCTGCTCTGTGCAGGGTCGCCAACCAGCAGACCAGGCTGCCCAGAGCCACTTCCAGCCTGGCCTTGAATGCCTCCATATGGGGCACTTCACCAAGAAAGAGCACAACACATGTAAATCCTTCTTGAGCCCAGTCCTCCAAAAACCCGAATGCCCAAAGAGTTGCCAGGCTCTGCAAACCCACATTTCCAAGCACGCCCCATTACTTACACTCCCTTGCTCATCTACCCGCATTCACCAAGCAAAAGCTTTTTAAACTATCTCCTGTGTGCTCAGACAAAGATGGTGTGAGCGCTGTTTGTACCCAATGCAGTGCCATGGGGAGCTGGGCAACAGTGCTTGTCCCATACACCTGGGTCCTCCCCACCACCTGCCCACAGCTTCCCTCTCCCACCCCATGTACTGCAGGAAGGAGCATGCCGTGGTGGAGTCAGCTGGAAAGATCTTGCTCCCTGGCTATTGGTGCTACATGAGCTGAGAGGTGGAGGAGAGGGGATCTCTGGGGTATCCCACGTGCCTGCAGAAAGCCTGGCTTTAGTTTCTCAAACATGAGAACCATCTGTCTACACTGCCATTGTGGGGAGCGGACAGCGGGGTGCCTTCGGGTCTCTTCCAGAGCATCCACATGTCCCTTCTGAGAGCAGCAGCTGTGCTGGTCCCAGCAGGCTCACACACACTGTGTGTCAGGGCATGACAGCACCCCAGCACCAGCACAGGGAAAGCACAGACAGATACGCAAAGGGAAAAGCCCTGCAGGTTGCAGCGCTCTGCTCCCCTCCCACCTCACCCACAGGGCCGTCACCAAGTGCCCGTTTCCCAGCACAGCCCTGGCGCTGACCCCTCTCTCCCAGCCCCTGAGCATCACAAGATCCTTGTGTCTCCTTGCAGAAATCTGTTTGGTGCCATGGTCCCAATGGCGAGCTTTCCCTTAAAGCAGCACGATGCCATCGCCAGCAATGCTCCGAGAAGGGAAAGGTGGAGGCGGAGGGAACAGCGCAGCAAGCAGCTGAGGATAAACACATCCTGAGGGTATTTTTCCCCTTACATTTCTTGTAATTAAGAGTTGTTCTTACCCTAAGGACCATTAGCATGAGACATATTTTATTTTTTTCTTTTTTAATTACATCTGCTTTCCACTTCCAGGCCCTTTATTTGTTTTCACTTACAGCTCTTACCGTGACTCTGTTTGGTTTTCTCCCAAGTCCATGCCAAACAGAAGACCTAATAATATGAGTTCTGGGACATGTTTGCAGTGGGGTTAGGAAGTCACAGCACTATTTGTGAGTCTGTAGATTAAAGCTGGGGACATTAAATCGTGGCTAATGGGTTAACCCCTTGGTGTCAATAGGTTGCTGGCTTCACTAACTTCCATTTGATAGAGTTAGAAAATCCTTGACATTCTGCACCAAAGGGTTAATTTGAAAAGGGATGAGAATTCAGTTTCAGTTACAAGCATAGCTTTAATAATAAAGAAATGAAAAATTTAGGTTTCCTGGAGACCAACCGGAGTGTAAAATTATCCTTGAAGGTGCAATTCTATGTGAAGGTGAATACAGGGGGTTTTGAACGGCATAATGTTGGAACAAGGAGGAAATATGAAAGCAAGTGGGTACTTCCGCTATTTTTCCCCATCATTTGGTAACATGTAACAGGATAGTAAACAAATTACACTGAGGGAGTGAAAAGGGACCAGCACAACACATACACTTAATCTCCAAAACTATTGGAACTAAAACATCATTTACTCTTAAAAAGAGATTGAGCAAAGAAACTAGACTCATCGAATGGCTTAGGTTGGAGGAAACCTTAAAGATTGTATATTTCCAACCCGCCTGCCATGGGCAGGGCTGCCAACCACAGAGTAATAGAATGTACTTGCAAACCCACAGAGAAACACTGGAGCAGCTCCTCTGCCCTGATTTGAGTTCAAGTGGTAGGAAGTGAGCTTCAGCAGGATGAAGCCACAGCAAAGTGAAAGCAGCAGCTCAAGTGAACAGATCCCAGCAGGAGAACCTGGGGAAGCAGCACCAGTCTTAGCTCTTGAGGTGCCCAAGTGGCACCAGCTGAACTCTTGGTCCCTTCTGCCTTGGCTCTGCCTCCCTGCCACTGCTGATTTCCAGCATTTTCAGTGGGCTCCAAGAACAGGAAGGAAAGCTTCCCCCTGAAGAGGAAATATCAGCCGAAGCACAGACAAACCACAGGCTCACAGAATAAACTATTCTGAGTTCTGTGTATCATCATCACAACCTTTTCAGCAGAGAGCTCTCAGAATCCTAAACAACCACAGCCCATCCCCTCCTATCTGGATAACTAATCATTCAACACGAGATGCTGCTCTCACTCATCACCAAAGCGCTATGATTTAACAGTTTTGTCAAGTTCTTGCTGGAAAGATACTGCAACAGCCTTCCTAATGGCAGAGTGACAATTGCTACAAGTCCTGCAAAGTGTGGGATGCCAGGCAGGCATTACTGAAGCAGCAAGACTTGTCCTGTAAATCTTACCCCAAATGAAGATAGCAAATTACTCAGAAGGATTTGCAATGCTACTCTTGATTTATCTCACACAGAATGAAATGCATGCAGCCAGAGTACCCTAACGGAGTTCCAGTTTGGACTGGGAAGCCCTTGGCATTCCTCACTGATGCTTTTGTACTTTGTACTTTTGTACTTTGCTTTATTGTACTGCACCATCAAAACAGAATAGAGTTAAGTGAAACTCTTTTGCATATGAAATGCCCTGTGCTGAAGGATGCTCTCACTGGCTGGTGTGCTTGCTACATTGGAGCAATGCTGGCTCCACTCAGTAGAGCAGATAACACTATGCAAATGTTATTGTTACCACAGGTTAAAAATTTCTAATATATATATATATAGGCTTAGAACAAGCACATTGGGCTTCTTCTTGTTGTTACATTCTTAATTTTCTTGCAATGTTTTTGCATACGTAAATTCCTCAGTGCTTTTCCTAACAACACCCACTGCTACTAACAACAGCCAAAGTCAAAGTCTGGAACGTAATTAAGATGTTAGGAGATTGCTTCATCTGGACACACAAACCTGAGCACCTGCTTATGGTGGCAGATGCCAGAATCAATACACTCAGGCAGCCTGGAAACCTGTCTGAGGGGCTGATTTCACACCCAGCCAAACAACCTTGTCATGTTAGAGCACTGAGGGCATCAGCCGTGCCTCCTGGAAGTGCTTGCTTCCCACAACTGGCCATTTCTTTTATCCACGCTGTGCTGCCAAATGCTACTCAGCTCAAAAAAAAAAATAGAAAATAACGGGTCAGATCTGATACCAAACAATTGTAGGTAGATAGCTAGTCCCTCCTACAGCAGCATGCCAACTTTCTACCCTGCAATCAGAGTGGCATTACCTTGGCATTGTCCGGCACTCTTCCCTTGTTGCTCAAAGTAAAAATGATGAGAAACAGAGAAGGTTATGGGCAGAAATGTGCCATGGCTTAGTTTTTCAATAGTTAATTAACTTCTCTCCTGTTAAACTGGATGGGAACAACAGGTGTTTTGATGCTTGGATAGTTTCAGTTTCCACAGAACAATCCTTCAAGCTCTCATTATTGTCATTTGCACCACGAAAAGGACTTATTTCCAACTCATGCACCACCTAGTTATCTGTGTGCAGGAATAAAAGACAGCTGTGATGCAGAAGTCCTGAAAACACACTGACATTTCCCAAATCACACAATCTTTTCTCCATTTGTTTTTCCCTCCACTTTTTTTGAGATTCTGATTTCAGATATAAACCGAACATACCAACAAGCATAAACATTGATTATTTGCAGATCACAACTAAAGCCTCATCTCAGTCGGTGATCTCTGATCCTTCCTGAGGAAAACAAATTGCCACAGAGGAAATGCTTGTCTCAAGGCGACATTAAAACAGGTTAACGTGGAGGAAATAACACTGTTTGCAAAGATGGTAACAAAAGACAGAGTCACCGAATGACCTTCTGACCTAAACAAAGAGGTAGCATTAGGCTAAAAGGTTCCCTCTTCTCAAACACATTTTTTGAAGAAAGGCTCATGTCAGAAGTTAATTATAATGGAAAAGAATACAGGAATGATCATAAAAAACTACAATGATGCCCCAAAACCTGTAGCACACCTCTGGAGGCTCAACGGTTCCAAATACATAAAAAGATCAAAGAACTCATGTTCCACATCTGAAGATGATGAGATAACTACCTCTTTTCAAAAAATAAAGGGTTTTCTTTTTCTTCGAATCTTCCCAACACATTCTTCTAAACTGTCTGTAAAGCAGGAAAACAGAAAGGAAATAATTGAAAATTTACAAAGAATGAGAACAAGCCATTTGGACAAAATTGTTACGTGAAGATAGAAGGAGCTATCAAAAGAAACAACCAAGGATTTTGACAACGTCTGCAGAGACTGAAAAATTGAAGAAACAGGACGATTTTGTAACAGCAACAACAAGAACTGAAACTGCATGAGCACACGAGCAGTGCTCCAGAAAGCTGACACTTCAGCTGTCAGCATAACACTGGAGAAGAACAGCAATTATAAAGCAAATTAAACTACAAAGAAAATGGAAAAGACAACAACAACAACAAAAGCAATATGGCTTTCCATACTGCCTGCATTTTTTGCTGCTAAAGCTTTTTATGTAGGTGAGATGCAAAGCTAAATGCGCTACTCCAAGCCCTTCTCTCCATTTCATCAAATATTAACGCCATCACTTTACAAGTCCTTCTCTCTCATACAAGCTTTAAAACCACTTTAAAAAGCTCTTTAGAAGCAAAAGACCAATTTCTCTCATGATCTGGTATTTTTGTCCAGTTGTACAAGATCTTTTACTGATTTAATCACAAGTATGCAGGATAGAATGGAAGCTTCTATGTTTACAAAAATCATTTGTAGGCCACAGCTCCATTAGCCTGCTCTTTGTATTCCTCATCAGCTTTCATAGACAGGACAAGGGGAATGGTTTTAAACTAAGACAGGGGAGGTTTAGGTTAGATATGAGGAGGAAGTTTTTCACACAGAGGGTGGTGAGGCACTGGAACAGGTTGCCCAAGGAGGCTGTGGATGCAGGCATTCAAGGCCTGGATGTGGTTCTGGGCAGCCTGGTCTGCTGGTTGGTGACCTGCACACAGCAGGGGGTTGGAGCTGGATGAGCATCGTATTCCTTTTCAACCCAGGCCGTTCTGTGATTCTATGATCTGAAGTTGGAAGGGATCCACAAGGATCACTGAGTAGCCCCACACAGCAGCCCCAACCCCAGCGTCTGAGAGAGGTGTCCCAGCACACCCTGAGCTCCAGCATCAGGGACCTCAAGAGAGTCAACAGCTACACCCCACGTAGTGTCATCCACGAACTTACTCAGTCTGCATTGAAATAACTTATAATAACTGAAATAACTCATTTACAAAAAAAATGAGTATTTTTTCCCCACAACAATGTCAACAAAACGTGTTCACAGCAGCATTCTGCTCTGCAACCAACCGTTAAAGAAAACAACCACAACAACATGAAACAACATGGCTGCACGCAGTATATAAGAAATTCACTTCATAGGTCTGCCAAGGAAATATTTGAGAACTGCAGCCCTTCAGCCAGATCTTAGGGCCTGCTGTGCTCCACAGATGTTAGCTGGTCACAAAGACCTCTCTGTGAACAAGCATCTACATCCTATGAGCTTGGAAGCCAACAAGCTCCTGCTCTTCAACTTAGCAAAAGTTATCTACTTTTTCCCCAGGCTCTATGGAAATAGAGAAAAAAAACAACCAAACCCAGGGTTGGATATAAGAATCTTGCTAAGTTGAAGAAATTTATTTCTTAGGGCTTTAGAGCTCCAGTGGAAAGATAAAGCAGCAAGCTGGCACATTACAAAACTGCAAGCTTTTCTCAGCCCAGTACACGTTTCTCATTTTCATATACAGGATGCTTCACGTGGGCAACAAATAGGAGGTTTTGCAATAGTTTTTAAAAGCTTACTGATTAAACTGAGGAAATTTTGTCTGGATGTCTGCAGCAACACATCCATCGTCCTAAACAGTTGTTTTTTCGTTCGTTTTTACTTAGTTCAGTTCCTCACCTTATCTGCAACAGCTGCAAAAAGCCTGAAGCAATCAACCAAGTTCTACACAGTTGGGTTTTTTTTTCCTCACGCAGCAGCTTTAGGACTTAACCCACGGGCTCTTGCAGAGCCAGGAGAACGCCAGGAGCTATGTAGCAGCAGCAGGGCTTTAGGGCTGCCTTTCCTACACGCAGCAGCACATCCAGAGGAAAAGCATTGCTTTTGAAAGGAACAGGGCAGGTGTACGGCCGACCTGTGGGCCGTCCTTCAGCCGCCCCCCTTCCCGCCATCATGGCGGCAGCTGTGCCTCACTGAACGGCCCTGCCCGGCCCTCAGCAACCGCCCCGCGCTCCCCACAGCCACACAGCGGTGTGCGATGGGCACCGGCTGGGCTGAAACCAGGGCGCGGGGAGGGCACAGCGCAGTGCTGACTCGAGTTAGGGCAAATATGAAGCGCACAAAGAGTAAAATGGCATCAGAAATTTGTCGAACGCCTGAGAGCTCACTGAGAATTGCAGCCGCCGCCATCGAAGCAGCCTGATGATGTGTGGCACAAAGACAGGGTCACACATCGCACTGGTTTTATGCTTTTGTTACTCCCCTTTTTTTTATGTTTAAATAAAAATATTAAACATTAAAAGAAGTTTTGTTACGTGTACGCACTACATTTTTTTGATGCTTGACTACTGATGAAAAATTGTTATGGGGTCAAGCAAGGATAGGAGCCAAATGGGCTGCTGACTCAAACAGAGGCATAGCTTTAGGGAGGAGAGCAAGAACAATGGCCCCAGATCAGCAAAGTACAAATAACCATTGCCTTTAACATATAAATAGTCCCAAAACAAAAGTTAAGCTTTGGCTTAAGGACTTTGCTGACACGAAGCCCGCAAGCACAAATACAGAGGAACGCTGCAAAACGACCAGCCCCGGAGATGACTCTTCCACAAGAGTCAATATTTTGAAAGTAAAATTAATGGAAAATTCTATAGCCTGAGGAAAACTTTACAGGGATGCAGTTTGGACATCTTGAAAATGGCCAATAATTTCAACATGCTCCTCAGCGTCTACGAAAACTTCTGAAGAGACATAGCCTGACTTAAAGGTCAGAGGTGATGATATTATTAAAAGATGCCTCTTAGTCTCACTTTCGGTCGTGATCATTTATTACACTCCGGATCACACTGAAGAATATATAAGAAGGTGGGAAAAGCTGGTGGGGCCTGGGGCTGCAGTCCTAATTGCATGCTTACACTTGCATTTCTCTATCTTTTAACTTGGTGACATTTTAAATTGAGTGATTAATCAGCCTTTACTTTGTTATTTGCAATCTACACATTAAATGCTACAGGCCAGATAAACTAGCCAACACAAATTAGCCACCTTATTGGCAGATTTATACCACCAGAGCATCTGGTCCTCCCTGAATTAATTTGTACTGTAGACAGGAACCAAGCACAAGTCTTCTTTTAAATCCTTGTGAAAAATAGAAATATTCATACTTTTCACTCTGTCCAACTGTGATTTTCTCCAAATCCAAACTGACACCAGGCACGTGACTTGTCTCTGGGAGTCCTGCACACTCAGCCCTTCTTGTAAATGAGCATTTGCATTTGTGGCATGACAGTTTCTCTTCTCGGGTGCTGCACTGGCTGCTGAGGGAAAATGCTTGGCAACACCAATGGTTTTTCAGGTAGAAAATCTGCAGAAAGTGCTTTTGCACAGCAGATAAAGCAGCCTGCTATTTCTTGCTCTGCCAAGTTGGTCCCTTCACAGTAGTGGGACTCTGGAAATGATCTACAAACAACTATGGAAAATTCATTTAAAAAACTATTTAGCACTAATTCTTTATCATATGGCAGTGTAGTGAGGGAGAAGTAGACCAGGACAGGAGAGACTGAAAAGACTTTCTGGTACTGAAGTGTGATTTAGGGTCAAAGTTCCCCTGCCAGAATGAAATAGCAATGTGACGCCCGATTTCTACCCCTGTGAAGCACTCATACATGCCACCAGGGTAAATACAGACAAGTGAAAATAGCAATCTTCCATTAATGTTTGCAGCAACATCAAACAACAGTCATTCCACTTGCACAGGAACCCAGCAAGCTCCCAGACTTGTCCTTCTCCTTCAGGACACGTCAGCAAAGCTGAATGAAAGAAGCAAGCTATGGAGTGGAAATGAAAACATGGCTTCCTATACATACACAGAATACAATACATACACAGAAAGGTCCTGAGAGAGAAGGGAGGGCAGAAAAAGTATGGGGCATGGGAAGGATGACAAGGCCACGTCTCTGTTAGTGATGGTGCGCAGTTGAAAAGACTGTTCCAGTGTAGACGTGCACAAGGAAGACTGGGAACAGCTGGGATAAGGGATGTAAAAACCAGCTTGGGAATCAACAGGTTTGACTGAATGTTTTGCTTTTAAAAGCCTGGCTCCTAATTCGAGGTGCCAAGAGACAGGTATTTTAACAGCATTTGGGTAGAGTTACATGTATCGAAAGACATTCAAGCCTACCCTAGTATCGCTTTGACAAGAGGCGGCTTTGAGACTTTACCTTCACATCTGTTTTCACTGAAGAAAAACAAAATAATCATAATACTTTCAAATTTTAAGTGGCCCATTTTAGTCAGTTTCTTCCTATTTTCCTTTTTTCCTGAATTTGAAATGCTTACCATAGCAGGATGGTCTTAGTAGTGGAAAACGGTCTTTATTTATCATCCTAAAGATAAAGCATTACTGTTTTTGTAATTTAGGTCCTGAAATGAAAGTGTTACCAGTGTTGTCGCTTCAGGTTTTAATAATCATTGTCCACAACAAGAAATATTTGATTACCAGGACCTACCAATGCTCAATGATGGCAACTCACAGATAATGCTTCATACTCCTAAACTTACATTCCAGGATGCATTTTAATAATAAACAAAAGCGATTAATTCTGCTTTTTTACAACCAATTATACATTGACATGTACATATACCCAGTTCCAGTCACAGTGTATACATATTTTTGGATCTGCAGCAATATGAGTTCTAAGTGTATATACATGTGCAAGTTTGAATATGTCCTGAGTAATTTTGAATTAGTAAAATCTCATAAATTTTAACTGATGCAAATAAAGTTCAGGTTTTACAGTGCGATGTTATTATGAAGAAGCTGTTTTCCAAAAAAGAAATAAATACAGCACTCTGAGTTAACTTTATGCATAGCTCTGAGCTCTGTACACTGCACAGTACCCACTCACAGTCTAGGTAATTAGGAAACGTGAAAAGATGCCGACTGCATTCTTCAGTAACTATTGCTTCCTTTACTGCTTAATTAACAGCAAGCGATTCGTTCTGCTTCAAAATACCCAAGTGTGGAAGACTTTTAAAGGTTTTAAATTATATTCTTTCTGCTGTATATGTTTTGTAAACATTCAAGTCACTCAGGCTCTTTAAATCTTCTGAGAAAAACTAAATCACGCAGACAAACACTTAAAATATACGTTCTGGGAGAAAAAAAAAGAAACAACAGCGGAGTATAAGCATTACCTTAAATACCACAATATGCTGTAAGAAAGCAAAACAGGAAATGTTCCTTAAGGAGCAGCTTGGGCAGAAACTGAAAGGCTGCTCAGAAACTACTCTCTGTCAGTATGACACGCCAACACAGCGAACACGAGATGATCTCACAAGACCATAACAAATTGTCTGAGCAAACACGAAGAAGTGCTCCCACTGAGGAGGGGATCCACACCCAGCATGAGTGTCAGAGCTTTCGTACGGTATTAACAGCGCAACTCACGAGCAATGTCTGTGTACTTCATGCCAGGAAAACACAGGCACTAATATGAGAAGTGGGAAAGAACTAAAGCTAGCATCAGGGCGTAGCAGTCTTTAGCTGGAGTTGGTTTGATGCAGCTTTTTAGGCATGAAAGAAGATATGCTTTCTTCCTCTCCTTCATTTCTCTCTCACCACAGAAGTGAAGGCACCACTGACTGTGCTCCTCTGACACGAGGGCCCTGGC